CTTAACTACCTCTAAAGACTACTGCCTCAAAGCTCTCAACATTTAGGAGGGGCTCCTCTGAAATCAACTTAAGTATGTGCCTCTACAGCACAGAGCTATGAATCTATAGGAAACAGAGGAAGTTTTCTAGTTACTCCCTATAGACGTTCAGGGATGCATTAACATCTGCTGGTTTAGACTTTTTTTTTTAAATAGAATCAGTCCATAATGCAATGAATAAGTTAATGACCTGGTACACAGAAGCAACTTGGTAGTCTTCTGACATGTCAATAGCACAAATGCAGACAGACAAACTGGAATATGCAGCTGCTTGAAGCTATAAGGTTTTTCACATGGAAGTGCACTATCTCACAGCCTGAATGCCTTTGGAACTCAGACACCAAAACACGCAGCAGTTACACAGCTATGTCTCACAGACTGTGCATAGCTGCCAAGCACTCCACCTTTCTAGAGGAAATATTGCATTGGGACAGGAAAGGTGGAGGTCTATTAGCCACAGAACTACGCCTGCGTATCTAAGTGAGAAGGTTTGTGATTTGCTTTCATTGTCTTGCTTAGCAAGTGCTCATTTCAGTTTAAATTCTCGTCCCACATCCATAGCTTCCTGCACACACTTCCCCATTTCTCATGGCTTCCTTTAGATGAGAGCAACTTAAATTCCTAGAAAAGTTAAAAGCTTAACATCAACTCACCTACCTAAGACTCATTTGTCTTGATAAAAAGATGGGATATTCTAGCTCTTCCTCAAATTAGTATTTGAGCAAAATATTTCATCTGATTTCTCCACCCTCTTTGGGGCTGGTATATAGTTCTAACAAGTTAGATTTCAGATCTTTTCAAGGTGACAGACAAGAGTTTAATAATAAATTTGCATGCTACAAGTCTTATTCAACCCCAAGAGCTTGTATAAAGCATGTTTAGAACACTGAAGTACAATCATTCCTCTTCTGTTTGGCCAATTTAATAGCCACTCTCTTGCAGTTACAGCAGTGCTTCACTTTTAATAATCACTTTTACAAAGAAATTCTAATGAAGTCCTGGAAGAAGGGTGCTATTAGACCAAAGTTAATGCAGAATCTCTCAGCCAAAGCTTTAAAAAAAAACTTGTCTACCAGTTGTCATTAGTGAGATTCTTCAGGAGAAACCAAGCTCAAGTGATCATCTGGGACTTTTACCACTTGTTCTCCAAAGAGTTGAATGTTTGAACAGGGTGATGTGATTGACGATGGTGGCCAAAGTGATAAAAAAGCAGCAGCTCACACTACTCAGTTGCTGGTCTTATAAGATCAGATGAAAAGTTTTGATGATACAGAACGTCCTTAAAGTGTTCTTTCAATGATGTTTGATTGATTTGCATCAATATGCTATATTCACCTCCTACACTACATGGTGGTCAGAGCAGTACACTAAACAGCATGTCAAGTAGGAATCAGTTGTGTATTGAAATAGACTTTAAAAGCACTTCCCTTATCATGAAGTTTCCTCTGCTTTGTATCTCTTCACAATGACTCTCTTATCTCGTATTTATTTCACCAATTATTTATGTCCTTTGTTGAAGGGGGTTAACCTGATTCTAACACTTTCAGAATGTATCCAGGAAGAGAGATTTATCGTAACTCTGCATGTCAAGATAAAAACCAAAAATAATGCCTAAGGCCAGCTAAGGTTTCAAAGTTTTGCTCCTGTATGAACATGCATGCAATTTTTTCAGCTTCTTTCAGAATACTTCATGCTGCAACCAAGATAATTTGAGAGCAACTGATCAGTCTTATTCCCAAGTGTCTTCATCTCCATTATTCAAGAAGCTGCAACCTGTGTCTAAAAACTAAAATGCCTGAGTATTTCTGGAATATACAAGTCCAGGCACAACAGTAGCCTTCTTCCCTCTTCACTAATTCAAACCCCCTCCCTTTTGATTCTGCTGCAGGAATTTGCATTACTTTGTACCTTACAAGAGCAAGGCTATTTTCACCAGGAAAATACCACAGGCAGTGTAACTGTCCTGCTCTATTCTGTAGAATTATCTAATCACTGAAAAAAACAAAATCAGCAAGCACAAGAAATTGAAGTCACTCAAACCTGCTGCATTGCAATACACAGCATTCATCATTTTGGCCACAATCACACCAGAAGTCAGCACAGTATCTGCTTTATAATCTTTAGCTGAAGACTGAACTACATGGTTAGTTCTTACTGCAGCACCCAGCTCTTTGAGGAAAGCTTTTTATGATGAACTGTTAAATACAAGCTTTGATCTAGTGAAAAATGACATGCCTTACTATGCTTAAAGGTTAGACTTTAATTCAGAAGCCTTTTTTAATTGCATTAAAATCAATTCAGAATGCCAGCACCATGTTGCTTTCAGGGAAGTCACATGTAATGTTACTTACCATAAAATTTAGATCTCTTCAAGAGATCTAAAGCTGCTTGTCTGCACACACCAGCGGACAAAATTATCTACATGAGCTGTTGAAAGCCAGAAGACAGTTGGGCTGATGAGTTACAAGGGAGTGACTATCACATGCTCAGATACTTTGTTACACACTTTAATAAAGTGCTTTAGGGAATACGCGCTATTACTACATAGAAGCCATCTTCAGTCTGGTTCTCTAATTAATAATTTTTATATAAACCTGTTAACATGCTCAGGAATTTAGAAACACTCATGAGTATATGCATACGCAGCTGCAGAACACATTCCCAGCTCAAGGATGCTAGCATTTTTTGGACCATGAAACACCTTTATGGATACTAAAATCCCTTTTATTTTAATGATTAACGCTTAACTGAGATGTCAAGTTCTATAGGAGTTTGAGCTGTTACTCTCACAATGGCTAACCACAGCCCTATAAAAAAACAAACAAACAACAAACAAAAAAGCCAAACCCCCTTCCCCCCCCCCAAAAAAAAAAAAAAATCACTGAAACTAAAATTATTTCCATTCCTGGTCTTGTTTTTTTGACTAGGGAAGGACTGCCACCCCCTTGGAAACAGACTAACCTAAACTATCAGATTAGGCACGAATTTGGAATGCAAACGACAAAATAGTTGTGTTTTCCTTCTCCCCTTTTGCTAGGAAAAGGTCAGTCAGGAGTTTCATAGAAAAGTATACACCATACTGTAAAACTGGAAAAATATCTCAGTGACAGGAAAAACATTATTCTTCATTCTATCAGTAATATTAGCAGAAGCCTTCAGGGATTTATCAGCAGGTCTTAACTTAATTTTCACATGGCCATCTCCCTAAAGGCAATAATCAAGATTGAAAAATACCATCTTCTAGATCTTGAATGCATGGGTGCATTGACAGGACTTCCCATAATATTTTGGCCAAACTTTGTTACAAGTTACAGCTCAGTTCTGCCTAGCCTGTTGAAACAGATTGCTTTGGCAAAGAACACAGCCTAACCCAAGCTAACACAGCCTAAGAAACCAAGGGCTGGGAAGAAGTTAAACACAAGCGTGGCAGCCTGCCAAACCCCAGGATCCTGATAGTCTCCCCTCCTTAATCTTTGGAACCCCACATTTGCTAAAAAATACATGCAGAGTGTTGGAGCAGCTTGCACCAATACTGCCAATTGATTCAAAGACAGCTAAAATTGATCTGTAAAACAAACCCATCAAAAGCAAAAGCGTGCCAACATTTTACTTGTTCTCCAAAACAGCAATTAGAAGATACTTCAGTTTGCCCTACAGGCCAGCAGCAGAAAGATCTATCACGTGTTTCAGCATATGGCAGTAAGAAGCAGGCTTTTTAGTTTGAGGAATCATATTTGAAGTGGTTTAAGATAGTCTTTGGAGCAGAAAGACCAGAAGCTGACATACAGCTCGTCTGTCACAGGGTTACAGCAGCCACATGCTACGCTTCCTCTTTTCCCAGCTTCCACTTGGCAAAGAAGGGAGGTCACGGAAACAGTAACTACCAGCTCTTACCCTACTGTCTTCTAGTAGTATAAATTTAAACATCAGCATTTGAAATAAATTCTGCTTTTTCATATCCAAGGAGACACTCCAAACGTGCTGGAGAGGAGGAAGAGAGCTGCTGGTTAATACTTGGGCTGCATGCAAAACTAGAAATGCAACAGCAACTCGGGATGATTAAGAAGTTGAGGACACAGGCTTCCTACACCACCACAGCAAAACAGCTTGTTCTGTGGCATTTAACACCACAGCGTAAGCAAGTTAACCATGACAGTTAGGCAGTTGGAGTCTTTAAGACAGCTATGTTACAAAACAGTTTTAAATTATATGTAGGAATGTCATGTACTTTGGACAAGTAAACAGGGCTTTTCTGCTTCCATGTGCTCCAAGTATCTTTTTGACACACAAATCCATGACTACAATGTAGAACGAAGCATGGCACAAGTCCCAGTCTGTTGCTCCACGTCAGAGGGACACAAGTTACTTTCACATTAAGTAGACAACTCCAAACATAACAAAGTTTGAGCATATTTCCTTTGAGGACAGTTTTAGCTATTCGAGTTACCTTTAACCTGCAAGGCACACTCACTAAACATAATCTACCTGGAAAAGACATTTACTTCATCTAGAAGTGTTATGGAGCTGTAACCATGAATGAATTTAAGCACTAGTCCTAACCAAGGCCCCAAGCCCCCAGGGAAGCAGGTCAGGAGGAGCACTGCAAGCAGGAACCCTCTGGGAGCCCTGGAGCCTGCAGAGCAGAGCAGCTTTTTGAGAACTGCCATGAAACCCTGGGCCAAGCCAAGAGCCCCACAACATCTGCTAACAGGAGCACACGCAGCCTATGAAAAGTAAAAAAACTTCACTCCCGCATCGAGACCTCCTTTTATTTATGCCTCAAACACAGAGAGGAGGGCTTGCAAGTAACAGAAGGGAGGAGAAAAATAAGCAGACAGACTTCACAGTCAAAATACAGTTTGCCCCACAGAGGCCAGGCCCCGGGACCCCAGATAACCGCGTTCACAGCCCTCTGCCACCTCAGGGCTCCCCCTTCAGAGACGCCCGCCCCCGGCCCTCACCTGCTATATCCCAGAGCTGCAGCCGCACCAGGGTCTTGCTGTCCCAGTTGATGACTTTGAGGGCGAAATCCACCCCGATGGTGGCCCGGTAGTGCTGTGAGAAGAGCTGGTGGACGTACCGCTTGATGATGCTGGTTTTCCCTACCCCCAGCTCCCCGATCACCAGCACCTTGAAGAGATGCTCCCTGCACTCCGCCGCGCCGGAGCCCGCTCCCTCCCCGCCGGCCATCCCTCGGTCCTCCCGGACGCCGCGGGGAGGCCGGGGCCGCGGGCTCTCCCGCCTCTAAACCTTCCCCCAACCGGCAAATATCCCTCCTAAAACTTCCCCCGGGGACGGCAACTCGCCTCCAAGTATTTCCCCCTTGCGCCGGCGACTCGCCTTCCAACTTTTCGCAGACGGCTCCCCCCGCCGCTACGCCGGGCCGGCCCACGCCGGGAAAGGGGAGGCGAGCTGGGGGAAAAGGAGGGAGGGAAAGAGCAGGAAAAAGACGGGAGGGAAACCTCGCAACCACCTGACTCCAGTCACAGGACGCGGAAACTCCGCGGCCTTATACAACGCCCGGGGGAGGGCGACGGGGAGGAGCAGGGAAGAGGTACCGCCCCGCCGCTCCGGGATACCGGGAAGGAGAGGGGATGGCGGGGGTGGGATCCTTGGACACCTCTTCAGCTTCTGTCCCGGACGGGATGGGCTGTCCGTGGGGCAACCGGCAGCGGCGGGGAACCGTCGGTCCGCCCCGCTGTCCCCGGGCGGAGCGGAGAGGAGAGGAGGGTGTTTGCCCCCCCAAACCACCTTCCCTGCCTTTGCTGAGCTCACCCTGTGCAAACAGGCCGAGCAGTGGCGTAGTGTAAGGCCACCATGTGTAAAAGGCTCAGGTAACAGAGGGTGACTCCTAAACGAGTCAGGCGAAATATTTCTTTTATCACTCTGTTGTTGTTTTAAAAAATACATCAGGCGAAGGAGTAAACTATCCTATCATAGAATGGTTTGAGTTGGAAAAGACCTTAAAAGTCTTGTTGCAACCCCCCTGCCATGGGCAGGGACACCTCCCACCAGAGCAGGTTGCTCAAAGCCCCATCCAGCCTGGCCTTGAACACTTCCAGGGATGGGGCACCCACAGCTTCTCTGGGCAACCTGTTCCAGTGTCTCACCACCCTCACACTAAAGAATTTCTTCCTAATATCTAATCTAAATCTATCCTCTTCCAGTCTTAAACCGTTATGCTTCATCCAATTGCAACATGCCCTTATAAAAAGTCCCTCTTCCAGCTTTCTCATAGACCCCCTTCACATACTGGAAAGCTGTTACGAGGTCTCCCTGGAGCCTTCTCCAGGCTGAGCAGCCCCAGCTCTCTCAGCCTGTCTTCATAGGAGAGGTTCTCCAGCCCTCTGATCCTCTCTGTGGACCTCCTCTGGACTCATCCCAACAGGTCCATTGGTGCATTATGTTTGGGGCCTCAGAACTGAACACAGTAGTCCAGGTGGGGTCTCAGCAGAGCAGAGTAGAGGGGCGGAATCACTTCAGTGGACCTGCTAGCCATGCTTCTCTTGTTGCAGGCCAGGATGTGGTTGGCTTTCAGGGCTGCAAGCGTCCATTGCTGGCTCATGTTGAGCTTCTCATCAATCAACACTCCCAAGTCCTCCTCAGGGTTATTCTTAATCCATTCTCTGCCTAACCTGTATTTGTGCTTGGGATTGCCCCAACCCAGGTGCAGGACCTTGCACTTGGCCTTGTTGAATGAACACTCACATGATTAGAACCCAACATAAAATAAGTTTCCTGTCCCTAGGAAACTGTAGTACTGAGTGTGCAAATTTCAAGTGTTGGAAAAGACAAGTGTCTTTGCTAATACGCTCTCCAAATGAAACACCCAACCCCAGGCACCAGTCTTTGCAACGAGAGGATGGAGTTGCGCAGCCACGTAGTACTGCATTAGTGCTGTAGCGTTTAGCTATCATATAAATTCCTTAAAAGACCTATTTTGTGCCACAGAGCAATGAGGACAGGTCTGAAAGGGAAATGTGTGGCTGTCTAGGCAGCCTGCCTGCACACAACATAGGAGCCCAAGTGAAGATCTGATTAGGAATGAAGGGTTGCCATCAACCAGAAACAAAGTAGCGGTTAAAACATCTGGTAACTGATCTGGCAAACAATCATCAGTTTCTCCTAGTTTTATAATAGTTTCTTGAATATAGTAACTCCTTTGCTATACTTTTAATTAGTGGCTCAAGTAAAATAAGACTTTCTCTGTTGGCTTGCAGCATGCTTACTTTCACGTCACACAAAGTTAATGGATGCAATGTAGATGGGAGTGGGTGAAGAGACCAGCTGTTTGGCAAAATGAGGCAAAAAAGCTAAACTTCTTGGAGAAAAACTGTATTTACAGATTTGGGGTTAAATTTATTAATTTAAACTGTCATCCTATATGAACTCTAATAGAATTTCTCTGATTAGTATTTATTTTCCAGCAGAAGTAATAGCATCAGAATATAAACTATGGGAAGACTGTTTCTCAAAAATTAGATTTTCTCTTTTTTTTTTGATGGAGGGTGACACAAGGTAGCACGGGTTCTCTGGCAAGAGACGAGATAAACAAGAAACATTGTCATTGATTGGGAAGTTGAGGATGAGTATGACACACCCCATTTCAGGTACATGTACTTTAACCACTATGGGTTCTGGTGAACCTCTTTAGCTGTATCTAGACTTTACAGTCTGTCTGCCTGCACAGCTATGGTCTATTCAGACCGGGGATTTGGCTGGCGTGCACTGAAGACCTCTCCCCACACAGTTGCCCAAGTTTCTCTCCTTCTTCCACTCGGGATGAAAGTGAATTGTCACATGCACATGTAAAGATGTGGCCGGGCTACAATATGGATGCAGAAGCCTAGTTCCTCAGGCTTAGATGTAGTCTTTTATGTCTTCATTCCTCACCTGTCAGATGGTGATTATACCTGCCTTACAGGAGAGTTATATTACTTGACTACCTGACACATTCTGCTGTTATATGGCAAAAGGTGGAATATTTGCTTCTTCTAATCGCAAGCTTCTCATAACATTAGATAAATTGTTTTTCCTTGCTTAGATGGAGTGGAAATTTTAGGCATTTCCTGTCATTTGTTAGGCCTGCCTACTACTCTCTTTGTCTTATATGCCATAGAAATTCATTACTCCCATTTCTTCATTCCTCCTCCACATTTTGTAGGGGAACATAGATCATATCAGACAACTCAGTGAGCAACTACACTATTCTTAGTAAACTGAATATGAATACCTCAATATACTTGAAATTTGGTAGCAACAGTACAAAAGAAGCCTGTAGGTTAATTTTTTCCTCACGTACTGATTTTGAGCAATTAGAACTAACAAAGAAAACAAAGTCTATGAAAGTCACGATCTGTTCACAGAAGAGTCAGTAACAGAAACAAGGGCAAAATGGGACTGATAATTTTCCATGATTAATAGTTTGATCAGTTCTAATTACATTACAGCATGCCAAACATATAGCAGTGGATCTTGCTTGAAAGAATAATTTGCCTTAATATCATTATTATTCATTTCACTCAAGTTGGCTGATATCTGTGTGGAACAGCTTGGTAAAATTCAGTCATTTGCAGTCCTGGTATTACTGTTGTGTCTCTCTGTGGTGCTATATAATCAACCATGCACAAGGTTACAGAATAAAGTGTAATCTCCACTCCCGTAGTAAAGGGTAGATAATCTTTATACTGTGAGCTAAATTTTGGTGTCACTTCTACTTTCTACTGACTCCCCTTTACCAATTGAATGTCAGCAAAAATCCTCTATTGAACAAAGGTTGTTGGCATCACAGTACAGTAATTGGGATTACATTATTATGTTTTACCTTCAGTTGCCTACACTGGGAGACTGGGAATGAGTTATTATTGTGCCATTTTAACTAGCTTATCTGGTTGGTTGCCTTTAAATAAAATGCTTGCTTCATATCTCAAACAGCAATTGTAAAAGCTATTTGGTTTTTTTCTTTCCTTGCACTGGAGATATCAGGAATGAGGAAGAGAAAATGTAAATCTTACAAAAGAGGCTTTTGGTGTCTTCTCAACCTGGAGGCTGGTCTTAATAAAAACTAGCTTTCTTTTATTTTTACAGTTGCTGTTTGCTGCCCATCCACTGGGGTCTTTTGCTAAATTGTCAGTTAATCCGTACGTCAGAACATTGGATTCCAACAGCAGCTGGGTTTGAGGAACTGGCTGCTCACTGGACAGGTTTCAGAACTTTTAATAGCTGAATGATCATTACATGATGAATACCAAAGGACTGGCAAAATAGCTTTGCTTGTACGATGACATTGCAACTTCCATTTTTCCTGATCCTTAATGTCTTTTTGTATCTCTCTTCTTCAAGAAAATAATATGGTTTTTTTTCATGATTTCTCCTTTTCATGTTCACCTTTCTGTTCTTCTGAGCTTTACCTTCTCTGCAGTGAATGGGGGATTCTTCCTCTTTCTTCTTGTCAGACTGCGGTGAGGAAGGGACAGCAGCAGGTTCAGCCAGTTAGGCCAGGACAGCTGCAGGAGGCAGAGAAAGCAGAGGGATGAGTTTTGTTTACTCTTCCCTGTTGCCACATTAGAAATGAAATTCATGGCTGAAGGGGTGGTGTGAGTAGCTGGTCCAGAGGAGGGCCACAAAAATAGTCAGAGGGCTGGAGAACTTCTCCTGTGAAGACAGGCTGAGAGAGTTGGGGCTGCTCAGCCTGGAGAAGGGAAGACTCCAGGGAGACCTTGTAACAGCTTTCCAGTATGTGAAGGGGGCCTACGAGAAAGCTGGAGAGGGACCTTTTACAAGAGCATGTAGCAATAGGATGAAGCACAATGTTTTACGACTGGAAGAGGGTCGACTTCGATTATATATTAGGAAGAAATTCTTTACTGTGAGGGTGGTGAGACACTGGAACAGGTTGCCCAGAGAAGCTGTGGGTGCCCCATCCCTGGAAGTGTTCAAGGCCAGGCTGGATGGGGCTTTGAGCAACCTGGTCTGGTGGGAGGTGTCTCTGCCCATGGCAGGGGAGTTGGAACTAGAGGATCTCTTCCAACCTAGACCATTCTAGGATTCTAAAAGTAGAAGAAGTACGGCACATGGATGATTTCTCTGTATCCAGGTGAGGAAGCACAGCTGCTTGGATGCTATGACTGCGCAGATTTGCACGCCGTGTTATCTCCCTGTGCTTCTCTGACCAAGTGGAGGACTGACAGAACACTTCCTCTGCTCAGCATAGCATTTCCCAATAGTCTAGGGGAAAAAAATATCTGTGTTTTAAAACAGTATTTCTGTAACAAACAGTTTGTACTGCCTGGAGCAGCACAGGTGATTGAATGATTTCTTTTTAATAGTGGTTTTCTAGGGAAATGTCCCAAAGTACTTCTTTTAGTGATAGTAACATAGAAACAGTAGAGATCAAGGTAAGCATGCAAGTCTGGGAGTCTGTTGGCAAAATACTGCTGTGGCCAAGTAAAACACCAGACAACAA